GACAGGCCTCCTTGGCACCATCTGCAGCCACTCCCCACACACTCACATCTTTCCCTCCCGGGGCTCCCCATCCTGCCCCTGGGCCTGGCAGGACTGGGGTGTCACAGCGCCCTCCGTGCTCTGTCCTTGGCCATGATTTTGAGCCTGAGGCCCCATGTGGGTCCGGAAACCCTGAACCTCAGCAACAGTGAGGGCCCCCTTGGCCATGCCCTGCAGGACTGGGCCAAGGCCGGCCCCCACGAGCAGCCCTCAGGCAGCACCCTGCAGCGGAGGAAGGACCGAGTGGAGCTCCTCCGAGACACAGAGCCAGGCCCGGCTGTCGGGGGCACCCTGGGCCCCAGTGGAGAGGAGGCCCCGCGACCCCGCATGTCCCCTGCCACCATCGCAGCCAAGGTAAGCGGCAATTCCCTGGGCAGCCCAACCAGGGCCCCACCTTCACTCCTAGGTCAGTTTCAGGAGGCCAGGCAAGTGGTCGCAGGGCCAGCTCAGACTGCTCAGCCTGTTGGGGGTTGCCTGCAGTCCGGGCTGAGGGGGAAGCAGGGAGCAAGGCTTCAGCCTGCAGTCTTACCACCCCCAGCACGGTGAGGAGGTGTCCCCCGCGGCCAGTGACCTGGCCATGGTGCTGACCCGCGGCCTGAGCCTGGAGCACCAGAAGAGCAGCCGGGACTCCCTGCAGTACTCCAGCGGCTACAGCACACAGACCACCACGCCCTCCTGCTCTGAGGACACCATCCCCTCCCAAGGTAGGCCCCGGGGGCCGGGGGCAGGCGGCTGGGCCTTCACAGGCCCCCAGGGCCCCAGGCCCACCGCATCCCGTGCCCCCCAGGCTCTGACTACGACTGCTACTCAGTGAACGGGGACGCAGACGGGGAGGGCCCACCCGAGTTCGACAAGTCATCCACCATCCCTCGCAACAGCAACATCGCCCAGAACTACCGCCGCCTGATCCAGACCAAGCGCCCGGCCTCCACTGCAGGGCTGCCCACCGCCGGGCTGCCCACCACCTCGGGCGCACCCCCTGGCGTGGCCACCATCCGCCGCACACCCTCCACCAAGCCCGCCGTGCGTCGCACCCTCTCCAGCGCCGGCCCCATCCCCATCCGGCCGCCCATTGTCCCCGTGAAGACGCCCACGGTGCCCGACTCCCCCGGCTACGTGGGGCCCACGCGGGCGGGCAGCGAGGAGTGCGTCTTCTACACCGACGAGGCCGCCTCGCCCCTGGCCCCGGACCTGGCCAGGGCCTCCCCGAAGAGGCTCAGCCTGCCCAACACAGCCTGGGGCAGCCCGTCCCCCGAGGCCGCCAGCTACCCAGGGCCGGGGGCCGGGCTGGCGGCCGAGGGCGACGAGCAGCAGCAGCAGCAGCAGCTGGCTGCCAACCGACACAGCCTGGTGGAGAAGCTCGGGGAGCTGGTGGCTGGCGCCCATGCCCTGGGCGAGGGCCAGTTCCCCTTCCCCACTGCCCTGTCGGCCACCCTCGTGGAGGAGACTCCCACCCCGCCCCCCGCTGCCACCAGCGACCCCCCGGCTGAAGACATGCTGGTGGCCATCCGGCGCGGGGTGCGGCTCCGCAGGACCGTCACCAACGACAGGTCGGCGCCCCGCATCTTGTGATCCCACCCTCTGGCCCGGGCGAGGCAGGTGGCCTGGTCGGTGGGCAGCGGCCACTCCGCAAAGGCACCGTCAGAGCAGAGCAAGGCAAGCTTTTTTTTTTTTTTTTTTTTTTGAAGTCATACGAGGCAAAGCTACTTTATTGGAAAGAGACACCCATCTTGGATTTCAAGGTTTAAACAGGAAATGACTTCTTTAACAAACCTCACCAGGACGGAGCCTGCCGGCCTGGAACTTGGATTTGGAGCCTGTTTCAACCTTTGCTTGCCCACTCTGTCCCTCCTCTTCCTCCTTTCGGGCCCTGCCTTTTCCTGGTGTGGGTGAGCCCCAGAGCCACGCTCCCTGCCCCCAGCAGCGGCGCCGGGCCAGCCTCTCCCGGTCCCACCAGCCTGGCTGGGCCCGCAGTGCCACCCCTTAGCTAGCCTGGCCCAGGTTCTCGCCATCTCCCCAGGGACGGTGGCCTCAGGCTCTTCCGGAATGCTAGCCCATCCCGCCCTGACTGAGCCCCCTCCTCCTCCCTCCTCCATCGTCTCATCTCTCTGCCTCTCCAGGCTCCTCTCTGTCGGGGAGCAGGGCCGACGGGGAGCAGCTGTGCGGGGGCCAGGGGCCCAACCGGCTAAGATGGCGGGCTGTTGGGGGCGGGGCGGGGGGGGGGAGGTTGCAGCTGGGAGCCCAGCCGCCGTCGCCGCCTCGTCATCGCCGTCGCCTCCTCGTCATCGTCGGGGAAGGGGGCCTGGGCCCAAGTCAAGCCTCTTGGGGAAGACATGCAGGGGACCTGCTTGGAGGAGGCTGGGGACCCTGAAGCAGCATCCCCTCCCCCCAGGGGTGGCTGGGGTTGGAGGCAGGGCGGCGCTGGGCAGCGGGGAAGGAGTCCAGAGGCCAGGGGTCACCTGGCCAGTCCCCCAGGAGCTGCTTTCGGATGCCTGAAGGTTTCAGCCACCTCTGGGGATGGGGGCTTGAGCTGGGGGTGGGGGGAGGGACGGGAAGGGTTTCTTTTATGAACACACAATAAAATGAGCTGACCGGACAAGGACTGCTTGTGGGGACAGGGTAGACGGTACAGGGTGTGTCCAAGAGTGCCTGAGGGACGGGGTGGGGGCCCACACTGGCCGTTGGGCCTGTGGCAGGAGGAGGGCCTAATGGCTCCGGAGGCCAGAGAGCAGCTCTTCTCTCCAGCGTCCGGAGCAAAGCCGCGGTGAGGTTGGAAAGGGCTGGGCCTCCTGTCAGACTGCTGCGGACCAAGGGGTAAGGGGGGCAGTGGGGGGGAGATTAGTTTTGACTCTGTTGTCAGAGGAGCCGCCCTCCCAGGATGGTCCGGGTGGGGCGGGGAGCGAGGTGGCGAGTGCCCCCGCACCATGTTGCGCGCCAGCTCCAAGCAGGTAAAAGTACGTGTGCCAAGGGCAAGCGGAGGACTTCCTGCGGCCCCACAGGGCGGCCAGGGCGGCAGGGTCACGGGGCAGGGGCCCCGCCCAGGGTCAGGAGAGCTGGCTTTTCCTGGTCTGGATGGAGCCCAGACTCCTGGTAGTTCTTGTGCCGGAAACTCGGGTCCAGGCACGGCAGCCAGGAGAGTGTGGGGAACCAAGGATGCCCCTGAGTATATGGAGCCCCGCGGGGTCCACGAAGGCGGGTGGAGAACGATACCTGTAAGTCGCTAGGTCGGAGAAAGGAGACTTGCTGAGCGCACCACACCTGGAGGAGGGCCGGGCGAGGAAGGGGGCGGGAGAGCAGGTGGCCTGTATTTGAAGGCTTGGGGTGGGGCTTACACTGCCCCTCACCACAGGGTTTGCCCAGGTGGGCTGATTTAAGATGCAGGTTATGTGATGTGAGCAGGGTAAGGGGCAGTGGGGTGGGGGGAGAGCTGAGTCCCCATGAGGAAGAGCTTGCCCATGGGGAGGGGGGTGGCTTCGGAGACCCAGGGAGGGGGTGGGTGCGGCACAGCTGCCACCCACCCACCCATACTCCAGTGGCGCCTGACCACTCCCCTCCAAGCCCCCCCGCCCCCAGGGCTGTACATAACTCCTCCATCCCCTTGATCGCCTCGCGTCCATTTAGTGACCACCTTGCAGGCCCACCCCTTTGGGATCCGAGCCAGCCATCCCGCATCACAAACTTTGGTTTGGGGGACTTCTTTACATTTGTTTCATTTTTCTTTTTGTACAGAGAAATATTCTTTTCAAAAAGTGTCTTTTGACTGAAGTAACTTTTCTGGTGCTGTTAACTTGTTCCTTTTTTTAATTTATTTCCCCACCCCAGGCCCCCCCTCCTGGTTCCTACTCACTTTTTCTTCCCTCCACCACCCCCTCACCACCCCCATCCCATCTGAACAATTTTGTTTCTTTTCTTTCTGTCAGTTTTTGGATAAATGATCCTCTCCTTCCCCCCCCCCACGCCCCTGCAACCCACCCTCTCCTTGATTTAAATAGTCACTGCTACAAGTAACAAATGCACTGTGAAGATTCCAGTATTAATAAAGTTGTACTGTAATTAACACCCCTGCCTCCGCCTAGCTTTCTCCACCGTTGCTCACCTGCCGGCACCCCAGCCCTTGCCCATCCCATCCCAGATCCCCTCTGGGGGCGGGGCTCCCTGCAGGGCTCCGTGATGGGGGGGGCGATCGTGCAGGACTCGCGAGGTCTCGTGCCAGGACCCATGCCTTTGAATGCCTCAGCTCTGTCCCTGCTGGGGGCGGTCTTGGGGCTGCCAGATGGAGGGGTGGCCAGGACGCACTGTGGGAGATAAACCCCCCCGCCCCCGCGAAGTCAGGCTGGCTAAGGCTTCAGGGGCTGGGGCAGGGCTGGAAGGAACTCCGTCCCTCAAATATCTACCATTCCAGGGCCCTGGCTAAGGCCCTGACCACTCCACATCTGAATCCTCAGACCGAGGCCCCAGGGCCAGACCAGCCCACGCCCCTCCTCCTCCTGCCTCCTGCACCTGGCAGGAGGGGAAAGCGGCCTTCTCCAGGTGGGCCTTCTCAAGATGCAAAGCAAACCAAAACAAACCAAAACAAAGCAGGTGTTTAATAGAAAAAATAAAGGGAACTATGGCAAGATGTGGCATTTGGCTATGCCCTCTCCCCAGCTTTGCTGCCCTCGCCGAGTCGTGTCCCCACCCCCATGCCCACCTGGTACAGCTCTCACCTCTTTGGGCTTAGGAGACGGTCAGCCCTGCCCTCAGGGAAGAGGGCAGCCCGGGCAGTGACAGGAGGGGCTGTAGGCTCTGTCTTCATTGACCTTCAGGTGCCCCCCAGCGCCCACCGCTCCAGGTGAGACCATGGGAAATATGGAAGGTGGAAAGCTGAACCCTTCTCAGGCACTGAGTCCCCCTCAAAGGAGAAATACCCCTCTAGGGCCTCCTCTCCCAAGAGGGTCTCCCCACCACCACCCAGAGAAGCCTCAGGCCCAGTGCATCTCCTGCAGGAGCTCCTCCAGCTGCCCCACCCAGTTACCATGCAGCCCACTCGGCAGGAGGCCTTCGCCCTGTGCCCTCAGCAGCTTCACTGAGCTGGGCCTCCAGCCGTGGATGCCGGGGAGTGGGGCAGGGAGGTGGGGGGCTGCTGGCGCAGGGGGTATAGCTGGGCGGCCACACACTGTGACGAGGGCTCCGGGCTGTGAGGCTGAGGCCTTGGCACCTCACAATCCTGCCAGTTTAGGACAGGGCTTTGTTTACCTGCAGGCAACACACACACACAGACACAAATAAGACTGCAGGACTGGTCAACACCCCACTCATCCCCAGACCAAGCCACACTGTCCTCCCTGTACCCAGGGCCCATCTCAGCTTCCAGAAACGGCCTGTAGCCCTGGGAAGCAGAGGGCATGCCGAGGAGGGTCCCAGCTCTGCTCAGCGACCTGGGCTCAGACACCCAGTGTCCCGCCCCCAGCCCCTCAGAGCTCCTTACAGCAAGAGCAGTACAACAGCTCCATGACCCGCAAGCAGTTGTCCAGCAGAGCTTTGGGCCGCACCAGCTTCAGGCTTCCTGGGGCACTCAAGAGGGACAGCACTGCTTCCACCTGGGGGCTGACCTCCACACCCTGAAAGGGAGGAAATCTTCAGGACCACAGGTGCCACCCCCAGCCTGTGAAGAGATTCCAGGAGAGCTCTGGGGGGCGGGGAGGGGGGGGCGTGCTGGCTGTCCTGCCTGGAAGGAGGACAAGAGATCCCTGTGACCAGGACTCCTGAGAGCAATTTCTCTCCTTCCTGCAGGTGCCATTTTTCCTGGGAGGGGCTCCCTCGATGTCCCTCACTCAAGCACAACACACAGAAGCTTCTCATTTCCTCTCCTAGGGGCAGGCCAGACAGGGAGGAGGTGGGGGCATCCTTGCTGTTCTAGCCCAGGCCCGGCCACCACCACATGAGGAGTCCCTATCCCAGGGACACTGTCCTTCAGGATGCAAAGACCCACACTGACTGCCATGAAGAAGAGACAGGACCCTCAGGAGGGTCGGTCATATCGTGAGGCGCACTAGGCACACTGACAGGGCTGGGTCTCCAGCTCCAAGCTCGGGGGCTCCTCTCCACAACACTTAACAAAAGGAACCTGGTGTGGGGAGCACCAGGCACCATGGGAGGGACAGAGCAGGGGCCAGAACTGTCGTAGAAGACACGGAGCACGGGGCTTCCCTGGTGGCGCAGTGGTTAAGAATCCGCCTGCCAGTGCAGGGGACGCGGGTTCAAGCCCTGGTCCGGGAAGATCTCACACGCCGCGGAGCAACTAAGCCCGTGCGCCACAACTACTGAGCCCCTGTATGCCACAACTACTGAAGCCCGCGCGCCTAGAGCCCGTGCTCCGCAACAGAGACATGCCATCGCTGAGAAGCCCGCGCACCTCGACAAAGAGCAGCCCCCGCTCGCCATAACTAGAGAAAGCCGGCGCACAGCAACGAAGACCCAACGCAGCCAAACATAAAAATAAATAAATAAATAAATAAATGTATAAATAAATAAATAATAATACTTAAAAAAAAAAGACATGGAGCAGGAGGAAACGTGGGACCTGAGCTGGGGAAGGACCTTCCTAAAAGTGAAGTGTTCTAGGTTGAACTGTGTGTCCCCCTGCCCCACAAACCCCTAAAAAAGCTCTGTCCAAGGCCCAATCCCTAGTACCTGCGAATATGACTTGTTTGGAAATGGGGTCTATGCAGATGTAATTAAGTCAGGGATCTCCAGATGAGATCAGTCTGGATTTATGGTGGGCCCTAAATCCAATGACTGTTGTCCTTGTAAGAGAAAGGACATAGGTCCTTCTCTGGGACACAGAGGGAGAGGCCATGTGAAGACAGAGGCAGAGGGTGGAGTGATGCTGCACAAACCAAGAACACCATCATCCACCAGAAGCTGGAAGAGGTGGGAAAGATCCTCCTCTAGAGCCTTTGGAGGGAGCATGGCCCTGCTGACACCTTGATTTCAGACTTCTGGTCTACAGAACTGCAATAGAATAATTTCTGTTGTTTTAAGCCACCAGTTGGTAGTAATTTGTGACCGCAGTCCCCAAAAAACTAATATACAAAGGCTTAGAGAGAGAAGTGAGGGTGGCAGGAGGGCAAAGGGGCCCATGCCCATGGCCCTCTCCCCAGAGGGAGGACCCACTGCCCCATAGATGTTGGGCACGTATGGAACGGGCCGTCTACCATTAACATTGTGAGAAAGAAGAGGTTAAAAGTTGGTTCAGGGATTTCCCTGGCGGTCCAGTGGTTAAGACTTCGCCTTCCGATGCAGTGGGTGCGGGTTCGATCCCTGGTTGGGGAGCTAAGATCCCACATGCCTCATGGTCAAAAACAAAAGCATAAAACAGAAGCGATATTGTAACAAATTCAATAAAGACTTTGAAAATGGTCCACATCAAAAAAAAAAAAATCTTAAAAAAAAAAAGCTGGTTTAATCTGAAGAGCCCAGGTGGGCAGGGCCTCAGCCTCCCCACAGTCTCCTTCCCAGCTCCCCAGAGCTCACAGAGCCAGAGACACTCCCAAGGAAAACTGAGGATGGAACACAGTCCATTCCCCAGGTCAGCTCCAACCCCCCGGCCCACAGGCACAAGAAAGCCACCAAGGAAACGGCTGGGTCTCCCAGTCCCCGCCAGAATGGAGAGCCTCCACAAAGTTCTCGGCAGCTGCAAAAGCAGGTGCTGGCCCTGAGCCCTGGTGTCAGCAGAGGCTCACAGTTGGCTTCCTGTTGGCTGTTCTTGCTGGGCAGCAGGTGGGGCCCTGGGGCAGTTGTGTACCAGGGTTCTAAGGAGGGCTGGGGATGTCAGTAGGGCAAGGTGGGGGTGTGGGGAGGGGTCCCATGGCACACACATGGCCTGCGAAGATACACAACGACCCCGTCACCTTACTCTCTAGGCTTTTTGAAAGACGTATCCCCCAGGCCTCCGATCAACACTGCTGAACAGGCAGCAATCGGGAACCTCTATTATTATTATTAATTAAGGTCCGTTTACCTTAGGGTTCACTCTTTCTGTTGTACATTCAATGGGCTTTGACAAATGCAATTATACCCACCGTTACAGCATCATACAGAAGAGTTTCATCGCCCTCAACCCCCCTGTGCTCCACCCATTTACCCCTCTTCCTTTCCCTCTTTTCTTAGATGTGGAAATAAAGTGAGAGGGATCAATGACTCACCCAGGGTTGCAGAGCATAACAGGGTCTCAGGCGCATCTCTTGCCCCCCAAGCCCAGTCCACCACCCTACCCCCTCCATTTCTCCCACACTCTCCAGGACATGCCAGAACTTTCCATGCCTTTACCTTCTCCCTTGATAGCTTTTGCCCCCCCACACACACACACACACGCACCCACCCTGGCCACCTGCACCTCCGCACAGCTCACCGGGAGGCCTTGTTTGACATCCAGCAGCAGCGTATGTACCTCCTCCAGGTACTTCCAGGACGGATGGCCCTCGAGCAGCACCTCCTGCACCCACTCAGTAGCACTGAGACTCACCAAGACCCACAGATACCGCAGCTCCTGTTGGCTCACCCGGGCCCTCTGCTGCAGGGACAGGAGAAATTATTGAAACCCCAGACAGGAGCCTCTGGGCCTGCCCCCCACAACTCTGACCGCCCCCCAGATTTGCCCTGCACAGGGGGCAGACCACGGGCATCCACTGTGGATGGGGTGGGAGGGGCACCTGGGGCCGGAGCCAAGGGCAGGCTTGCTTGAGGGGCCAGGAAAGACCCCTGGCAACAGGATCTGCCCAGACCAATGTGCCTCCAGGCAGGGCCCACAGGATGTCCCAGGAGGCAGGGGCCTCCCCACTCCAGAGGGGGGTTCTCACCAGCCTGGTGACGTTGGCCACCCGGAGTACCCCCTCGTAAGGCACACTGAGCCTGTAGCTGATGGGGAAGTAGTGCTTCTGGGGAGACACAAGAACAAAGGATGAGATCAGAGTCAGAAACGGCTCGGGCTCCCCCAGCCTCGGAGAAGAACTTGACGCAGGACCGGCCCTCGATGGCAGCAGTGGTCCTCTACAGAAAACATGTGCTTGGCTCCCAGCTGGGATAAAGACAGCTCTTTCCTCTGGGACACAGGGAAGGAGAAACAAAACAAAACACGTTAAGGCTTAAGTCTCGGGCCAAAATGTAGGATGAGAGGCTTACTACTCCTAGAGAATCATATCCTTTAGGAGGAGCGAGGAAAATGACTTTAAAAGATTGCTCTAAAACTTATCATGGTGATGGTTTCATGACTTTGCAAATACACTAAAAGCCATAGAAATGTACACCTGAACAGGTGAGGTGTGTGGTATGTGAATTATATCTCAAAAAAGCTGTTAAAAAAAATAAAAAGACCTACAGAGCCACATGCCATATGGTCCACCATATAAAAAGAATCAAACATTCTAATTTCTAGGTCCTTATCTCCCCTGCTAAATAGTGCCTGGGGTTCCCCCAAGGTTTCCTGGAATCCATTCCTGAGTCACTGGGTGAGTGCCACGTGGAGGTGGGATCAAAGGTCAGATCAGATAGGAGGGTTGGAGGCCCCAGGGATGGATGGCAGGAGCAGGGACAGGAAGTGCAGACGAGGCACATGGGTGTGTGTGAGGGAGAAAGGAGCCATGGCAGGCACAGGCCTGACACAAGTCCAAGGAGAGGGACTGCATCTCCAGGTCCTTATGTCCCATGAGCCACAGGACTTTGGAAAAGGGACACAACGAGTGCCCACGTGGTTACCATGTACTGAAGGCGGTTCCGGTACTGCAGCTTGTCCCGCAGAAAGCCAGTGATGGCACACTCCTCGCTCCGGGTTAACGGCCACACCTCCAAACCCTGGTTCCCCAAGGCCATGCCCAGGAGGATCCCGAGATCTGTGGACCGCACACAACAACACGTGAGCCACCTGTGTGGCTCCCACACTGCCCGGGTACGCAGAGCTGTGCACACGACCTCCCTTTTCCCAGTCACAAGTGCTCTCAGAAGGGTCGGGGTCAGGGGCGCAGGGTCCCAAGGAGGCCTTCCCAGCGCCAGGAATACTCTCCCTGCCGTCCAGGCTGTAGGACAGCAATGCAGGCAAGCATGAACCGTCCAGCCCAGCCACCTCCCGCCCCAGACTGGCAAAGCCCCCCAGGAGCCACGCCTGGGATTGGTCTCCAGTCTCCTTCCCACTCCTGCCCCAGGGAGCAGGCACAGCCTCCTTTCCATGGCAACCCCTGCCCCTCATCTAGAGCCTATGAGTTTTCAAAGCCTTTTGCTGCATTTTCCATCCAGAGACTCTGGAGCTGTGGATTCTAGTTCCAACTCTACAAATGACTCTTGGGTGACCCACTCCATTGTCCTCCCTGCTCTATCTGACCCTGACATGCCTCTTAATTAGAGGTACAAGCAGGTTTGTAGCAGCCCTTCCAGTCTGGTCTTTCCGGGATACTGAGCGAACCTCACTCAGGCTGTTTCTCTTCCCCGCTAACAAACGATCCAAACGTTACCAGCCTTCACCACTGCAGGTCACTGTGACTTTAAAAACAGTGTGATTTCTGTGTAACTGAACAGACTTACAAAAATTATCTGAGAGAATTTGCAACAAACATGAACAAGGGTTAAGTTGATGGGAGCAGAAAGAACAAAATATAGATGGGCAAGAGATGTATCTGAGACTCAACCTCACTAATAAATTCACGTCAAAACCATCGATACATGTTTCACCTACCAAATGGAAAGACTTTTTTGTTGTTGCTGCTGTTGTTTTATTTTATTTTAATAACATTTGCTGCTGGCAAAATAGTGAGGCAGATGCTCTCATCCTGGAAAGCAATTTGGCAATTTTTGTTATTAATGGACTTAATGCCCACACACTTTGACCCACTAAGCTTTAAAATTGTCCACACCCTTTGACCCTTTTTTTTTTTTTTTTTAAAACTAACTGCCCTTTATCTAGCTCAGCACCATGTGGACCCTGAATAGTTACTATGTTGACTTTTTTTTTTTTTTTTTTTTTTTTTTTTGCGGTACGCGGGCCTCTCACTGTTGTGGCCTCTTCCGTTGCTGAGCACAGGCTCCGGACACACAGGCTCAGCGGCCATGGCTCACGGGCCCAGCCGCTCCACGGCATGTGGGATCTTCCCGGACCGGGGCACGAACCCATGTCCCCTGCATCGGCAGGCGGGCTCTCAACCACTGCACCACCAGGGAAGCCCCCTTTGACCCATTAAACTCATTTCTAGGAATAAATGTGAAGCAAAAGAGAGACATAACCGAAAGATCTGTGGACAAAGTCTTCCTTTGCAGTATTATTTTGTAATAGTGAACATCTGTAAGTGGCCTAGATGTTCAATAATAACGAATGTAGCCAATAAAAATCACATTGCCAAAGAATACTTATGATATGCTTATATGATAAGAAAAATATTTTTGATATGCTTAGCAAAGTTTTAAAAAGCATGATTCAACACACTGTATCTGGGTATAAAGCATGACTTGAATTTTGTTAATTATGTATATATGTGTGCATAGAAAATGCAATGGAAAGAAATGCACCAAATCCCTATGGGCGATTTTTATGTTCTTCTTTATATTTTTTAGGATATATTTTACATTCTATAATTAGTATCTATTATTGTTATAGTCAAAAGCAGTAATTTTTTTTTTCCTTTTCTCCCTCTTCCTTCCTTCCTCCCTTCCATCCTCCTCCTTCTCTCTCTCTCTCTTTCTCTCTTTCTTCCTTTTTTCCCCCCAAATAGCCAGGCAGGCTGAGTCACCTCTTTGATTCACCCCTGGTTGTGAGCAGCAATTACTGACTGGACTTTCTGCCCTCACTTCCCCAGCACTTAGGGAGACTTTTGTTCTTAAACCCTCACCGGCCTGAGCCTACTGACACTCACTTTCCCACCCCCTTCTCAGTGCTGCTGCCATGCCTGTGCCCCTGCTGGGCCAGAAGCTCAGGTTTACTCAAGCCCATGCCCCTTATGGCCTGCAGCCCACCAGCCCTTCCCCTCATAGAAGTCTGACACCACATTTTTTGCAAACTTGCAATCCATCTTGCACTTCCTCTCTCTCTTCCCATATTCTCAACCCAATATTTGGACAAAGGAACAGATAAACCAGTGTTCCTGCTTGCTTTCTCCCTTGTCTCTACATCATTAACACTCAGCTTGGCACCCATGCTGGTCAGGATCATTCCTTCCTCAGGGTTTAGGCTCACACATTGCCCCTGCCCTGGGTATCCTCTCACACGGCAGACCCCTTCCAAGGTCTCACCAAGACTCCTTCCCTCCCCAGAGGCTCCCCTGCCTACGCCAGCCACCAACCCCGTCTCTAGCACCATCTGACCAATTCATTGTCTTTTTTTTTTTTTTTTTGGCTGCTTTGGGTCTTCATTGCTGTGTGCAGGCTTTCTCTAGTTGCAGTGAGCAGGGGCTACTCTTCATTGTGGTGCGCGGGCTTCTCATTGCAGTGGCTTCTCTTGTTGCGGAGCATAGGCTCTAGGCACGCGGGCTTCAGTAGCTGCAGTACATGGGCTCAGTAGTTGCGGCATGCAGGCCCTAGAGCGTGCGGGCTTCAGTAGTTGCGGCATGTGGGCTCAGTAGTTGTGGCTCGCGGACTCTAGAGCACAGGCTCAGCAGTTGTGGCGCACGGGCTTAGTTCCTCCGCGGCATGTGGGATTTCCGGGACCAGGGCTCGAACCTGTGTCCCCTGAATTGGCAGGTGGATTCTTAACCACTGCACCACAAGGGAAGCCCCTCACTCACTGTCTTGACCAGACAACGTAGCAGCCAGTGTGTGAATGCACAGCACTGTGAACCACAGCGAGGACATGTTACTCAGCACTTTGGGGTTCACGTCAAGCAGAGAACTGGGATCAGGCATCTGGGTCTCCTGTAGAAGCTGGTAATGGCTCACCCAGGGTATCTGATTGAGCAGGTATGAGGTAGTGGTGGGGGGAGTGCAGAGAATCTGCATTTCCAACAAGTCCTGAAGTAAAACTGATGCTGCTGGGTCTGGGGACCGCACTTGGCAGAAAGTGAGAGTTTACAAATTGGTGTCCTTAGGGCCACATTCTGGTTCACAGAGATTTCACATAAAAATCCAAATTTCCATCTTTTCTTTAAAAATCAGTATCCCTGTCCACACTGAGTCTTCTTTCCAATGTGGCAGTCACCCTGTGGCTGCCCACTCCACCCCAAGTCCTACCCCACCTGCCCTCATCTGATTCCCAGTCTGGAGCCTTTGGGGGCCTGGCCACTAGCCTTGTAGCAGAGACTTACAGAGCCTCCGTGCTTCCCAGCCTGGCACACATGGGTTGCCCCAGAAACTCTGTCCATAGATGATCTGCCTTCTCCCAAACTTAGACCTCCTCCAAGTCTGCAGCCCAACTACCATTCCCAGTGTTAAGCTCCCTTCCTGTTGCCTCCACTCCGAAAAACAGGCCAGCAAACAGGTAACTAGGCAGGGACAGCAGAGCTGTAGCCTCACGTACCCTCTGCATTCTGAAAGCCCCACAGCTAGTGCAACCCTGGTCGGGAGGCCCGCCGTGCCCCCCTATCTCCACAGTTAAGAGGCCTGCAAGACAGAAGAGGAGACTGGAGAAAGAGTAATGTCCTGTGCACAGTGACAAATGGGGCTTGTCCACCACCCCCATATCTGTGCCTGTGTGTGAAAATACCCCCAAATTTACGTTCACCAAGAACCTCAGATGCAACCTTATTTGGAGATAGGGTCTTTGCAAATGGTATTAAGAATCTCCAGATGAAATCCTCTTGAATTTAGGGTAGGCCCTAAATTCAGTGACTGGTGTCCTTATAAGAAGAGGAAAGGACACAGAGACACATGTAAGGCAAGACCATTCACGTGGCCTTCACAGATGAAGGCAGATTGGAGTGATGCAGCCACAAGCCAAGGAATGCCAGAAGCCACCAGAAGCTGGAAGAGGCAAGAAGGATCCTCCCCTGAAGCCTTCAAAGGGAGCATAACCTTGACAACTTGATTTCAGACTTCTGACCTCGAAAGCTGTGACAGAATACATTTCTGCTGTTTTAAGCCAAGATTGGGGCAATCTGTTACGGCAGCCACTCCTTTTCCAGCACCCCAGCCCCACTCTGAGCCCCTGATCCTCAGCCCTCCCTCCCCCTCGCCCCATGGCCAGTCCTTGCCAATCCTGCGCTCTGCTTTCATGAGCTTTGTCCCCTCTGCCAGGCCTCTTCATTCTCACTTCCATCTCCAGAAGGAACCCTCATCACCTCATCACATCCTGCCCAGGAGGGTGTAACAGCAACTCCCCAAAGCACGGCCAGACTGATCTCTCGAAAGCAGAGTAACTCTCAATCTCAGCTCCCACGCCCAGGTCACGGACCTTCCAGAGCTCCCTGTTACCTCACGAATTAGCCACTCTTCACCCTGGCTTTCAAGGCCTCAGCCACCTGAGCCCAAACCAGCTTTCCAGCCTGGCCTCTCACGCTCTCACTGCTGAGCCTTTGCTCCACTGCTCCCTCTCCCTGGAAGGAACACAGTCCTCACCTCCCCACGGCTACATGTGCGAACCCCACCCACCTCTGAGACCATTTCAAGTGGCACCTCGCCATGCTGTTTCTCCTGCTTCACCCTGCTCCTCAGGACTTGGAAGATTCCAGAACACTGGGTCTGGGTCCTTCCACCTGTTCTGAACATCCGGACCCTTTGCAGTACCCTCCACAAGGGCCAGGGTGGACCCAGCTCCTCTGTGAATCCCTCACAGGGTCAGACCCCGGACCTCATGCAAGTGGCACACAGTTCCTAGCACCTAACTCCATGCCAGGTGTTAAAGAGAAACGCACGAGATAGCCCAGGTCCTTGTCGTCATGGCACTGTCTCTCCAGTGGGCATGTGGGCGGCACCAGAAAAAAATATGTTGAATTTAAGTCAATTAAATTGAATCTTGGAGTCTGAAGGGAGCTTGGTCTGGCCTCCCACCAGCAGGCAGGCCTGAGAGACCTGTCGATTCTTTTTCTCTTCTGTCCTCATTTCAACTATTTTTCTTTTCCCCAACGACAATGTTCTCTTTCTGCCTTTTGATTTAGCTCTTTATGGAGGGAAAGGCAGAGGGAGCAGGTTGCACTTCTCCCATGTGTCTCGGGGCCCAGGCAACTTCACAAGCCCCCACCCCCGGCTGGTCACGCCCAGGGAGGCCAGAAATCATCTCTCTGCCACCTCCATCCCCACTGTACTCCTCAATGAGCACCAATGAGTCTGAGCAGGTGAGACGCTGCCTCCTACCCCCAGTGCCTGCCCTGTCCCTGTGACCCACTGACTGTGCCCACCCAGCCTAAGGCTCATACCCACCATGCCCGTCTGAGCTGCAGTCAGCTGGAGACAGGGCAGACGGCGTGGGAGTCCCCAAGGGTGCCTGCCATTAAGCTGGGAAGCATCTCAACTTCTCACCAGGAAGAATGCTCTGGTTGCCATGGTTACAAAGCCTGGCTCTAGGCCAAGCTCTCCCTGGGCAGTCCCCACAGACCCCCTGCCCCAGTACTCACAGCGCAGCCAGGCGAATCCCCGGGGCATGGTGGTGCACTGGGTCTCCCAGAGAGCAGAGGTGGTGTCCCCAGCAATGTGTCTATCCACAGAGGCCTGAGTGGGGCCTACATGGCCTCGGGTCAGCAAAGGTGGCCCAAAGTCGAGGAAGGACTAGCCACGGAGGAGTGGCCCAGCAGGAGGTGGCAGGTGCTCCTGGGCAGGGCTCACTCTTATCTGCCTGGCAGTGCAGAGGGCAGCCGGGGGGCGGTGGCTGTGAGTCCCATGGCAGCCAAGACCTGGCCTGAAACGGCTGCCTCGGGGTCTTCCTTCTAAGCAGGAGGAGAGAGTCCCCAGCAGGCCCCTCGGAATCTGAGGCTGGGTTGTGCTTTCTCTGATTTCTCTGTCTGCAGCTGCTCAGTGTGAAATCTGGCTCTGGAAAGAGAAAGGAGGAGAGAAACTGATTATGTAAGAGTGGTGCTGCCACTCAGCCATCAGCCACAGACGCGCAGAGCCTACTGTGCAGGCTGCACCCACCGCTGGCCGGGACCACCAGGGAAGGCCAGAGGTGCACAGCCCTGCCCTGGTTGCTGGCTACTTGGGGACACAGAAATGACAGAACAACCAAAGGGCAGCCCCAGCCCAGGAGTAAGTTAAAAGGACACCAGCTGACAGCCTGGGGCCAAAACGAAAGCAGGACCAAGGAATGAATGAGCTGTGTGGGTTAAATCAAGGGAGCTTCCTGAAGGCAGCAGATCACAGGTAAAGTACATGAACAGCTTGAACTGCGGGGAGGTTAAAAAAAAGCCCAGAATCGGGCTCTGCACCCCTCCATGCCCCAGAGAACACTCTCCTAGCCACCTCCTCACTCAGAAATCTCCCAGAAAGCCTCCCACCACGCACCCTAGACCACCAGACCAGGGCAGAGAAGCTGAGAAAGTGAGAACTGGGGTCATGGTCACCTTCATGCCACACCACAGAGCCCTAATCCTGGGTGCTATCTGTGGTCCCACCGATCCACTGAAATGGGGGAGATGTGCGGAAGCCAGGAAGGCACAAAGTGGGAGGTACCTAATGGCACAGAAGCCAGAGCCTTCTCTCAGGGGGAGGGGCACAGAGGAAATCACCTAAAAGAATGGGGGTGTCTGTCTGTCTGTCTCTCTGGTGGGGAAGAGGGAGGGGGAGGAGTTTGAGAATGGCCTCTCCCACCCCACCCCCACTCTACCCAGGGCTTTGGAACAGCCCTTTAGAAGCTCATGCAGAGAAAAGCTGGACAAGCTGGAATATTATTCTACATAATTCAACTGCAAATAGAATTTTCAAAGTCACAGTAGCAAGTAAAAAGTGAAAGTTAGTTTAACAGAAGCATGATTGAAGGATCCTGGAAGGACAAGGGCCGGGGGAGGGTGCACATGAGTGGTGAGGGAAGCGGGTGACAAGGAGCTACACGTTCCTTGGTGGGAAGTCAACAGATAGCGCCTCAAATGAATGAGCAACATGAGCATATATATAACTGAATCACTTTGCAGTATACCTGAAAGTAACACAATATTGTAAATCGACTATACTTCAATTTTAAAAAAAGTTATGGATGGGGGTGCGTGTGAAGAATTAGGGCCACTTTTGCAACCAATCTATTACACCTACGCAGAGCATTCTTCTCCCCAAAGTGGCCAGGCCTGACCTGAGGCCCAGGGACAGAGCATTGGACCACCTGCTCCAGCTTGACAGCTTCCCTGTAAGCAGGGCAGGGCCACGAGGGTCTCAGAGACATTCCAGGCAACCTCCACATCCAGAGGTGAGGAAACAGGCCTGGGGGCAGGGAGCTGTCCCAAGGCCTCATGCCCAGCCCCATCGTCCTCCCATGAATCAAGCCCCTCTGTCCTTTGAGAATGTGGGGAGGGACATTCTAGCAACTAGCAGCCCTGTAGAGTGAGTCACAGATGCTCAGTTTAAGGAGGAGGTGGATGAAAAATAGGGCTGAGTTGAGGCCACAGAAAAAAGAAGATAAACAAAAGCATAAAAAGGAATGATTTTTTTCTGGTTAATTCCATTAGCCCAGGGTCTATATTTCTGAATAACATTTCATCCACCACCTCTGTTCAGTGCAAAGAGGATTCTAGACCTGGGGCACATGAATAACACAGGACCCACTCTTGGCCACATTTCAAGAGTAGTAAGTCTCATTCAGAGAGGTGGGCTGAGTCAGATCCCTGACTGGCTCCCTCGGCTCCCATATCCCATTCAGTACAAGTCCAATTTGTGAAGGAGGCACTATTTCTAACCCCTTTAATCTGGGCTTGGCCATGTGACTTGCTCTGACCAGTGGGATGTGCCTATGCCTTCGGCTTGTCCTCTGTTGCTGCTGGGAGGGCTTCATGTCATGTAAACAATTCCGGGCTAGCTTCCTATAGGAGGCCTCAGGCATTTGAGTGAGACCGTCCTAAACTAGTCCATCTGGCCCCTGTCAAGTCAGCCCAGAATCCCAGCTACCCCACAGAATCATGAGAAATAATCAGTGTTTGTTTATTTTAAACCACTAAGCTTTGGGGGTAGTCTGTTACACAACAAAAACTAATTGATATAGCCTGAAAGTGCATCATCTCTGCAAATGCTCTGTAAAAAGGTCAATTCTAACCCAAAGCATCTTCTGGGAGTGGTTCCAGTGGCTTCTCTCCTCTGAATGAAGCTCAGGAAGCCTTGGGGGCAAAGGTGTGCTTTCATTGCCCTAGGGCCCAGCTCAGCATCTTCTATTGGAGGATGAACTTTCTGGAATTCAATACTAATCAAGACTTTTTTTCCCCTCTGCCATATTTGATTTATGTTTTGAAACTTTATTATAGCATTGTTAAACAAACCCAAATAAGGTACAATAGGATAATGGATCCTCATATAGCAATTATTCAGCTTCAAAAATTATCAATATTCTGTCATTCCTGTTTCACCCATCTTTCTTCCATTTTTTTCCCTAGAGTATTTTAAAGCAAATCTCAGACAGGCCGTTTTACCAGTATGTAAGGATTTTTTAAAAATATATAACCGCATTACTACTATTGCACATTTCCAAATCAATAATCCCTTATATCATCTAATACAGAATCCATGTTCAAATAAACCCACACATATAAACCCACACAACTAATTCACTACAAAGGTACAAAGAACATACAATGGCAAAAGGATAGTCTCTTCCATAAATGGAGTTGGGAAAACTGGGCATCCGCATGCAAAAAAATTAAACTACACCACTATCCCACACCATACACAAAAATCAACTCAAAATGGATCAGAGACTTTAATGTAAAACCTGAAACCATAAAACTCCTAGAAGAAAACATAGGCAGTATACTCTTGGGCATCAGTATTAACAATATCTTTCTAGATATGTCTCCTCAGGCAAGGGAAACAAAAGCAAAAATAAACAAACAGGACTGTATCAAACTAAAAAGCTTCCGCACAGCGAGGGAAACCACCAACAAAACAAAGACAACCTACCAAATGGGAGAAGATATTTGTAAATCATATGTCCAATAAGGGATTAATATTCATAATAGATAAAGAACTCATACAATTCAACAACAGCAAAACACAAACAACCTGATTAAAAAATGGGCAGAGGGGCTCAATAGACGTTTTTCCAAAGAAGACATATGGATAGCCAACAGGCACATGGAAAGATGTTCAACATCACTAATTATTAGGGAAATACAAATCAAAACCACAGTAAGATACTACCTCACATCTGTTAGAACTGCTATCATCAAATAGGCAAGAAATAACAAGTGTTGGTGAGTATGTGGAGAAAAGAGAACACTCATTCAATGTTAGTGGAACTGTAAACTGGTAAAGCCAGAGTGTTACCAGTACAGAGTTTTCTCAAAAACTTAAGAATAGGACTACCATATGACCTAACTATTTCACTTCTGGGGTTTTTTGTTTGTTTTGGCCACGCCATGTGGCTGTGGGATCTTAGTTCCCCGAGCAGGGATTGAACCTGGGTCCACAGCAGTGAAAGCACAGAGTCCTAACCACTGGACCGCCGGGGAATTCCCAACACTTCTGGGTATTATTTTTTTTTAATATAACTTTTTTTTTCTTTTTTCCTTCCTTTCTTTCTTTTTTGGCTGTGTTGGGTCTTCATTGCTGGCTTGCAGGCTTTCTCTAGTTGCAGCGAGCGGGGGGCTGCTCTTTGTTGCGGTGCACAGGCTTCTCACTGCAGTGGCTTCTCTTGTTGCACAGCATGGGCTCTAGGTGTGCGGGCTTCAGTAGCTGTGGCACGCAGGCTCAGTAGTTGTGGCCCGTGGTCTCTACAGCACAGGCTCAGTAGTTGTGGCGCACAGTCTCAGTTGCTCCATGGCATGTGGGATCTTCCCGGGCCAGGGCTCGAACCTGTGTTCCCTGCATTGGCAGGCAGATTCTTAACCACCGTGCCACCAGGGAACTCCCCCCAACATTTCTAGGTATTTATCCAAAGAATATGAAAATACTAATTTGAAAAGAAATATGCACCCCTATGTTCATCATAGCATGATTTTTTTTTTTTTTTTTTTTGGTACGCGGGCCTCTCACTTTTGTGGCCTCTCCAGTTGCGGAGCACAGGCTCCGGACGCGCAGGCTCCGGACGCACAGGCTCAGCGGCCATGGCTCACGGGCCCAGCCGCTCTGCGGCATGTGGGATCTTCCCGGACCGGGGCACGAACCCGTGTCCCCTGTGTCAGCAGGCGGACTCTCAACCACTGCACCACCAAGGAAGCCCCATCATAGCATTATTTTAAATAGCCAAGATATGGAAACAACCTAAGTACCAATAAATGGATGAATAAATAAAGAAGATGTGGCATATATTATACATACAATGGAATACTACTCAGCCATTAAAAAGATGAAATCTTGCCATCTGATGCACCTTGAGGGTATCATGCTAAGTGAAATAAGTCAGAGAAATACAATACCATATGATTTTGCTCACGTGGAATATAAAAAACAAACGAACAAACCAAACCAAATAAAAACAAACATGTAGATACAGAGAACAGAGTAGTGGTTACCAGAGCGGAAGGGTGAGAAGGGCAAAATGGGTAACATATGTTGTAACTATATGGTTGGCAACTGTATGGTGATGGA